TTAGCAAAATACAAAGTGTAAATCCCTTAGATACATTTTTTTTTCCATTCTGCTCTTAACTTTCTGTCAGTCAGAGAAAAAAGATACTTTCTCACACCCACATATTCATACTCCCTCACCATTCCCCTGCACACTGATAACCATAGGTGGCAGAAGAGGGGTGCTACTGGGGCTCAGCACCCACAAATGCCATGGCAGCCCAGCTTCAGGCTGCTGCAGCAGGGAGGGAGGGGCATGCACACACAGCCACCCTGTGCAGCCAGGATTGTAGCTGGCCCAGCAGGCAGGTAGTTTTCTTTCAATCTACTTTCTTTATGACTGCCTGGGTTTTTGGGGGGAGGGCAGATTGAGACCACCATTGCTCAGGAGGCAGTGGGGTAGGGGAAGGGGTGAATAATCCACCCCTGCCCCTCTCCCTCCTGCACTGTAGGAATTGTCCCATGACCCAGCCTGGCGTGAATGGGGTCCTGGCCAGGCTAGGTCATGGGACAGTTGGAGCCAGGCGGCTCATTCAGAAGCGTGGCACAGGGGAGCCAAGGGGAGGCATGTGGCCCCCCCATTCTGTGCATGGGGCAAGGGCAGGCTGCACATGTGGCCCCCCAATCTGTGCACAGGGCAAGGGCAGGTTGCAGCTGTGGACTAGGCTGTGTTCCCTGCCTCCGTTCCTCACTGTCACTGCTTCAAAAGTGGCACAGTGCGGCACCATGTGCATCCTGCCACTGGGTGGGCCAGGCAGTGAGATGGGCCACTCCCAGCACCACTGCCACCTGCCCTGAGCACAGTGTGGCCACCCTCACTGGGAACAGCCCAGTGCTGCTCCGGCACCTACCTGCAGCAGCAGCCCGCCCTACCCTGCGCAGATCTGGAGGAACATGCCCCCATGCCTCCCAGGACATGTGGAGTGGCGAGAAATGCCACCCCTTCCCACACCCCCGCAACAAGCTGGGGCTTCATCCCACACAACATCCTGCCCCAGCTGTGCAGGGGTCCTGGGGGCTCCATTCCCTCTGGGGCAGCGCAGCCAAAGCTGGCTCCACTTTGATCCCCGGCTACAGGCCACCCTGGGTGGTGCAGGGCTGGGGCCAGCAAATTCATTGGCGTGGGGGCACCAGCGCTGGGCAACGACCCCGAATGCAGGAGAAGGGGTGGCTGCATGGGCTCAGCAGGCCTCAGCCTCGATCCCAGGCCCAGCTTGGCTCAGCTCCCTCCTGATCCCTGCCCAGTCCTAGCCCCAGCCCCACTCCCTCCTCCCCCGGCCCTTTCCCCTGCAGACTTTCCTGCCTGGGAGGGGGTGCCCCCCCCACAATTTTTTTTATTCTTCCACCTATGCTGATAACACAAAAATACTTAAGGCCTAATAGTTAACATTTTTTAAAGTGTCTCCTGCAGATACCAGGAGACCTAAGGTGGCAAACTGTTTAAGAATTTGTAAGGCTTATCACAATATTCTAATTACAAGGATGCATCTTACCTAGTACTTTTTGTCTATAGAAAATGAGTCATAGTTTGGAGCTCATAAGCTGTGAACAAGGTATGCAGGTCTAAAGATCTCCCTGTGCTCCGATAGGAAAATGCCTCTCAATCACAGGGAAAACTGCAAGACAGACTCTATGCAAAAGTTAACGCACATCTTGGCACAGATTTTGTCAATTTTGCCAAAACCTAGGGGTCCAAGTGCAATGAGTAAAATATACACAAATAGAAACACAGGGCATTTGATGTAAATGTTTAGAGTAATACAACAAAAGCCACCTGCAGGAACACGTGGTTTTAAAACTATTAGTCAGAAAAAAAATTATACATTTATACAGGATAATTTTTATAAAGGTAGTATCTACTCATTCCTTTTTTGTTGCTCTTCCTAGATTAGGAGGAACTTGAGAACTTCACAAAGGTTTGGGTCAGTTCTGATTAAAACACATTAGTAAGTTTATGGTTAACATTTATTCGAAAAGTCCTTTATTATAAATAAATATTATTTTCTTTACAGAACATTTTGCAAGTATTTCAAAACAACTATTTTTACATTTTAGTTTCTCTCACACTTCTGGTTGTCTTCTTAGGAGTGATACTTTTATAAGTCACTGATCAAAAGTAACTTCTTGGCCATTTGCCACATCTTATTGAGTTTTCTCCCTAGGTGGTGGGCCATGTTCTCCTTTACTGATGAAAAACACACTATTTTGAGATGTATACTGATAACAGTACACCTTTAGAAAGGGATTTTTTAATCACCTTAGTTTTATTATAATATAATAATGACATGAGATTTATTATGATAACAAACTTATATCGATGAACTGAAGTAATCATAAAATCATAGAAACTTAAGGGTGGAAGGGATCTCAGCAGGTCATCTAGTGATCTAGTCCAGCCCCATTCTCAAAGCAGGACCATCCCCAACTTGTTTTGCTTGATTTTGTCCAGCATAGTAATGCAATACCAATAATATCATAAATAAATTTGCAATGAATGCAATGATTCATACTGGTCTCTTCTACAGTGCTGCTGGCAGCCTGTACATTCTCTATGTAGAAGGTGAATGGCAAGAGGTTTGGGTGCTCAGGGCCATCTGTTAGGTCTGACTGCCAGGCACATCTTTGTGCATAGTCTTCAGCACCTTCTTGTGTTCAAGACAAGGTACAGGTCCATACCAGATCTTGTGCCAGAATCCCGTCCAGGCCATCATAATGTGTATGGGCAAATAGAGCCCTGGAGGTTTTTGCTTTTGTCCCTTGCCTTCTTGTATGCCATCTTAATAACCTTTTGTTTTAATGAGATATTGCACATTGTCTGCCATTCAATGAAAAGCTGCAAAAATGTCTGTGTGTCTACATCTGTATCCCTGAATTTCCTATACTTTTAGACCAAGCTTGCCAGCACATCAACATTTAAACAAGGAAGTGGTATCAGGTCATTATAATCCTAGACAACAGAGGGTACACAGACAAAGAAAGAGACAGGTTGCACTACAGTGCAAAGCAGGAGGACTATCGAAGTAGTTCAGAGCACAGGGATAACCGGCATGACCCCAAAAATACTACTGCAATATAATTTACCATGAGGTGAACATATTGATAATTCTTATAGGAATACAATAGGCCATAATTACATCACAGTAAGAAATGGTGTTGTGTGGATGCAGATCTGTTTATAACTGTGTAAATTCCTTGTGAGGACAAACGCTCACATTCACTCAAGTACTCTCATTAGTGTCAATTAAATTACTAACCCGAGTGCTTGCTAGTGTTAATAAGGGATACACTCTCTCACCTACGTGTTTATTTAGTTTATAAAAAGTCTGTCAACTCCGTGGTATTTCGAAGTATGCACTCTGGAAGTACAGTAATCATTGCTGTATACCTGCACCTTATGAAAAGGACATATGTAAGCTTCACCATGCAGTGCAACAAACTGGCTTTATAAACTTGAATTACACTGCAGGAACTGTCCAAGTGCTTGAAGGGTTCCCAAATTACTCAAATACATGGATATTACTCAAATACATGGAAATAATTTTTTAAAACCAAAAACCAGTCACCAAGATTTTCCATAATCTAAGCCAAAACTAACTTGGAAAATTTGCTGCTCAACCCATCTCTAGTTAAAAATATATTAATATACTTTGTTCTGTATCTAACATCTAACTGCTTTAGATGTTAGACACAGAAATACCTCAGGTGAATGTTTTATAAACAAATTAAAATACAAAATGCTGTACAAACATTTACCATCTTAGAAGTTTACAACAACAGTTGAACCACCACTGCCATACTGAGAGCACCTTTAAAGTAAAGGGGCCAAATAGAGCAGGAATAGATTCTCAAGTTCAACCTACCCTACCAAAAAAGATTACTGTGTCATTTATGTCTACCAATATATCTAACATTGGGACATGGAAGGGACAGTGAAGCACACATGACCACATGTGTACTACAGCTCAGAAGGGATGCACTGCAGCCATCTTAGTTTGGCACTGAAGAGTGCACCAACAGACACTCTCAAGAGAACAAGCTTATTGATATATGCCCAGATATTTATATTACATTTTAATGTATAGTGTACATGCTTCACTATGCCATAGTGAAGTAAAGTGCCATGCTTCACTATGGTTCTCCCTATCATTTGACAATCTAGACATGTCTTACACGTCTTATAAATTAAGGCTTGTTATTCCATTCTTGGATTCATATTCCCTGGGATAAAGATATGTTTTATGTTGCATAGGTTGTGATTTATTTAAGGCATCCGTTGCCTAATTAAAAAACTGGAAACTCCTTGGAACTATGGGTTAAGATCCTGGTAGGAAAACTGTCTTTCATATTTCTGTGTGGAAGAAGCTGAACACACAAGCCAGGAGGCTGCTCTGACACACTGTAATTACAGTGCGTCAGAGCAGACTCGATTAATCAAGTCTACTGGAGTATGGTAATTACTGCACTGCAGCCAGCCTCCGCATCTTCTGTAGCAGTGTCCCTGAGCTTCAAAATGTTGGTGGGGGCACTTTATCTAAAGCTTGTTTGACAAGTTCTAGATAAAGCACCCTGTCACCATTTTGAAGCATGGGGATGCTGATACATGAGACGCTCTGGGCACTTTAATTAAAGTGCTCCCCTCTTCCCCGGTACTCTTGGAGCACGTGTAAAAATGCCCCATGTGATTACCTCTGTATATATCCCTTTAGGTGAGATTTTCAAAACCAGTCCTGGCTGTTCTCCATGAATGTGGCTTGTTCTTCCTTTATAATTGTGTAAAGTACTGGACTGCTACTACTTGCCACCTCAGAGGCTGCAAAATACTAAATTAAATTTGTTAAAAATTTCTAAGTAACAAAGAAGCCTAAATCCTGTTTTCCAAGATTTTATGAGACTTAGGCAACTAAGTAACTTCTGAAAATGAGACATAGGCATTTTTTAAATCTTACCAAATAATGTTTTATGTGATTTGGAATATAAGAGTTTAGTACAGCTTTAACATGCTCTATGTATTTTAGAAGAGAAATGAATACCAGCAACTTCAAGGAATGCTCGTTTATCCATGTTGATACTATAATAAAATCTCTCCAGCAAGCAATCTACATACCCACCTTTGCTCTTGGTTTGATTCTCAATTTGCTAGCCCTCCTGGTGTTCTGCTGCTTTCAGAAGAAATGGATCGAATCATCAATCTACATGATAAATCTTGTTCTTGCAGATCTTCTACTTCTTTTTTCCCTTCCTTTCAAGATGTCTGATGTCAAACAAGGGCCACAGGGTCTCTTGTGCCATTTTTTGGAATCCCTCTACTTTGTTAACATGTATGGAAGTATCTTCATCGCTGCTTGCATTAGTTTTGACAGATATTTTGCTATAAGGCACCCATTCAAAGCCAGAGTTTTCCGATCCCCCAGGATAGCAGGCATTGCATGCTTCTGTGTTTGGGTTCTAGTTTGGCTTGGTAGCATTCCCATCTATAAGTCCAATCACAGTGGCAAATTCAGATGCTTCCACAACATGTCAGATAACACTTGGCAAACATCAGTCATCGTTTCTGTTGAAATCTTTGGATTTCTTATCCCCTTGACTGTGATGGTTTACTGTTCGATTCAGATCATCCAGACTCTCCTGAGGCATAAAACTGAAGGAAAAGAGTGGACTGAACAGTTTGCCTGTATACGGACCATTGCAGCCAACCTCATTGTGTTTGTGGTCTGCTTTACACCATTCCACCTGGGGATTTTTCTACAGTTCTTAGTACGGAAACATGTCATCATGGACTGCAATACGAAACAACACATTAGCCTCTTCATTCAGGTGGCAATGTGTATAGCCAATATCAACTGTTGCTTGGATGCTATTTGTTACTACTTTGCTGCAAAAGAATTTCGCAAGAAAAGTGACTTCAGGTTGTTAATTAAATCATTTACTTTCTCTCAAGGTTGTCCCGAATGACCTTACTTACTGTATCATAATGTCATTTACTCAGCAAAAGCTTGGTAAATAGATTCATCTTAACTGTTTTTTTAAAGAAATGATAAAAAGGCATTAATTTTGTGTGTGCTGTATGTATATGCAAACTGAAAAAATTAAGTCTTGTAAAACTCTTTGTTTTCATACAAACTAAAGTGATAATGTAAAGATAAAGAGGAAAAATAAGATGGCTCAAAGACATATTGGGAAAGACTTTATCTTAAGCTATAGGCTGCCTGGTAAACATCTGAAATACATTTGTCAAAGTAGAACCTATGTTGTCTAACTCACCATTTAAATCATCCATGCATCCGAAATCCCCGCTTGCCAGCACGATCAAAATTATTAAGAGAGAAACCAAAAGCATCACTATGTATTTGAAACAGTTGTACACCACTTTTGTAGGGATGTGTAAATACACATTAGGTATACATTTTGATGTGTTGCTGTGCACTTGACATTCTTTTAACCTTTTCATCCAGGCAAAACTTGATCAAATTTATGACACCACATCTCTCACCCCTGCTTTATGTAGTAACAGTTATCGGAATACCCATCAGAACCTACTGTAGTTTGAGATTTGTGATTTTCTCATCAGAATTTCTTAAATCAGCAGGGGATGTTTCTCAATTATGAATTAATGATTCACATGCAAAAAAAAAGAATAGTGCTTTTCCTGAGATACCATATAATATTATTTCTACAACGATAATAATATTTACACTTGAAATTGAATACTACAATATGCCCATGAAATTTGCTGTCTACCTTTCGTGTTTCATGTTGCAGCAACATACTTCATATGAGATTAGCCAGATTTCAGTTATGAAATCTATTATGCATGGCCTTTTAATTTCATCATAACAAATGTACCCTTCCTGACTCTTCACAATACAAGGTCAGAGTACGTGAATAATCCAATTTGTATAAAATTTAGAAAGAAACTGATTTCACTAAAAAGACAAAGAATGCTGTTTCCTAAATACAATTTTGTAGGCAGTTGCTACATGCTAATGACTAATTGTTTATGTACTATTGTGGTGAGCATGTTTGTTATTACCCTGAAATAGAATAGTTTTCTGATAGCATACTGTTAGGTTAACAATAATTTGGATTATTAAGTAGTATTAGCTTTACAGCTGAATACAAGGCATAACCTGTGGCCTAGCAATACAGCTGACCACAAGGCAGAATGATAGCTAAGCCTTTGCATTTTAACTGTATTAAGCATTTTCTGAGTTAAAAAGTGGATCTGTGTCTGTGCACTGAAAAATCAGCTACAGCAAGAAGTAAGATAAGACAGGGAAGCCATTGTTCTGGGTGCAGTGGTTGTGTCCTTGAGAAGTATCTACTACTGTGTAAGGTTTTGCTAACATATTATAATGTTACTGTTACTTAACTTTTAGCTTTTAAAAAAGTGCTAGTTCAGCTTAATAGAAATATGCTGTTACAAAGATTTATAAAGCACCGCCCAAATATTGCTTTTTTGTTAACCCTATAAGTCTTGCCTTATTGTAATAAGTATAAAAGATCGCCTCACCCATTAGGGGGGGCCATTTTGCCTTTTGCTTGCATTATGGTCTTTGCTCAAGCAAATAAACAGCTGTCTGTCTTTACCCACATTGTCTGTCTATCAAATTACAGCTAGACAACAAACTTTAGGGAGGTTTCTCCCACCACACTATGTATGACTATGCCTGTGAGTGAAGCATAAATATTTGACTTAAAATGTGTTAGCCAGCATAAATAAATAACTAATAAATCAAACAGATCTGTCAACACTTTTAATGCCAGTGCCTGCACTGAGGCAGATGGAGGGTCTCCTGCAATGACACCAATCAAATGTTATGACTCAGAGCCACTGCCTATGGTTTCAGAAACTTTTTTTTTTTTTAAATATGCGACAGCTCTGTAGCATTGTTACTTGTCAAACTATTATATGATAACACGCGGATAAGAGAATTACAACCGTTGATCCTCTGGATCATGGTGTATATTTAAGAGGTCTAGTCACCAAGACCTTTGACCCAAACACCTAGGCAAAAGTATGGAGGAGTGGAGGCTGCCCAAGACCTACCATCCCCACTTAAGACCACTGAGACAGTATCCAAAACCAGATTAAGTCTAGACATTCAGTGTCTTGATGGCTGTAGCTCCTGACATAGAGCAACAGATAAGAACTGCTGCTGACTGCCTAGGGCAGGGGTGGGCAAGATGACCAATCTGCCTGGCATCCGTTTCCCAGCAACCCTGCCTGCATTGCTGTAGCTGGTTTGCATGGAGACCCCAGCAGCAGCAGGGCTGTGACAGCACAGGGCCAGAGTTTCAATGAAGACTGGCCAAAGCAGCACTGGCAGGACAGGACACTGCTGCAGGCCGGGGCTGGGATCTTGTGGCAGTGACAACATGGTCTGAAGCCAGCGCAGAGCCGCAATCCACCGCTTGCACACCCCTGCCTAGGGCATGTGGGCAGCATATCAGTCTGCCCTCGCTCTGGACCACACTGTCACCACTGCAAGATCCCAGCCCTGGAGCAGCTCTCTAACCAGCCACACGCCCTGCCAGCACTAACCCTGACCCTGTGCCGGCTCCACCCCACTGCTGCTAGGGTCTCCATGGAAACCGACTGCAGCAATACAGGCAGGGGCTACCGGGGAAAAAAAGTCTGCAACGGGACTGATTCAGCCCACAGGCCGGACTTTGCCTTCTCATGGCCTAGGGCGTTTCCATCAAGGTGATGATGTCTCTTTGCCTTTCTCCAGTCAAAGAATACCCACAAAGCTGTGGGGATCACAGGGTTTTAAGGTGCCTTGTACTCGCCTTACTCTGGAGGTTGCAATGTTGTGGTATATTATAGGATGCAGTTTAGGGTCATACTCAGGTTTAACATTCTAATCACAAAATGCAAAAATATATATTCTTGATATTGCTTTTGAAATTGCAATCTCTTTGAATTTCTTAGGCTGAATCTATAGTGTTATGGCATTAGTAGGTTTTGTTCATCACACTCACCACACCGGACTACTCTTACTGGTGCCTGTTCTGAGGTTTTTTTTCTGAAAACAGATATTAAAATAGTCAGATCTGTGCTCTCTGGAAAAAAATAGGAGGCTCATAATTACAGCGGTAGAGCATAACTGAATCACCAAGAACTGACATGACACACAGGGAAATAAGAGGCCACTTCACCCAAATTTGAGGCAAAAAAATAGCTTTACAGCATCCTTCTCCTGCAACATATTGCCTCAGAAAACCCATAACTTTTAACACTTCTTTCCTGTATGGTAGCTTAGTAAAACCTACAGTCAAAGGACATTCTTGAGCTCTTTTAAAAAGATGTTGCCTGAAAACTGAGAAATACAGGGAAACGCATATATTTTTCTTCCTCAAGAACTGGCGTCTCCCCCTCCCAATTGCTTCTGAGCAGCAACGCTGGAAGCTCCTCGTGGGCGGCTCTGCCAGCACGAGGAGCAGCGACACTCAAGAGCCCCCGCGAGGGAAGCGCGAAGGGCGCCGCTTCTGCACAGCCGAGGAGAAACCCCCGAGCTGGGCGCTCCGGGCGGGGGAGATTTGCACCGTACGGACTAGACGAGGCAGACCGAGCGGCGCGAGACTGGAGGGAAGGGAGGGAGGCGACGCGCAGGCAGCGGCCCGGGACAGTGCAGGGCAAGGCACGTGCTGCACCAGGCGCGGGCTGCAACCCAGCCGCGTGCGCCCCG